GATAGTGCCATCGAGTAAACAGAGTTTATTCAGGCACTTTTCAAATAGGAGCAGGTAAGTGAGTTGTTAATAACCATGTGGATGGTTAGCAAATACAGCCTTAGTAAATGCGGATGTCTGTTCAGTAGTAGAACTCAATTGGCTTCTGTCAGGGTGTAAATTAAACAGAATCGATTATTGTAATCACAGTCTTTGACGCCTCGGTTCGTGATCAGTATGGATTGATATGTGGGAGCTGTTAATGAGTCGTTCACACATAAATCCTTTCCTATCTGGACCAGTTGATTGTGAAAAACTCTTTGAATTCGAAGTTGTATTAAATTATGTAAGCCGACTGAGGCAAACGCTTCTTGACAGGTCAGGATCTATCTGACGAGTGCTGTAGGCTATAGTGTTAGAAGAGAGATTCACAGGTGTTTATTCATCCGATGCCTCCTCTGGTTGAAAAGAAGCTATTTCATTTAGCTGCCATTCTGGTCCAGAACTACGTAGCCTCCGCAGTTTGGTCCCTGCTAGAGATGCATACTACTGACAGCCCCAGCTCCTCCAGTTATGGCAAATTGACTCTAGGATTTAGGTATTCTTGGTTCCTAAATCTTTCTTAGATATTGTTGAAAAATGAGCCTCCGTCGCGAGTTGTAATGACAATTTGTGACTGTTCTATCGTGCGCGTCTCTTGTATATAAAATTACTGAATGTAGGCTCTAATTAAATCAGTGTGTTAGCGGATATCTATCGAGAGAACCGTCAGAGTAGCACAAACCACAAAGAACTCAGTCGTGGTGTATTAATGCATCAACATACTACAAATTAATCAGGATGAGATGAACATTGGCGTCTTATCGAAAAGATTATTAGAGTGATTATTTCATTCTATATTGAGCGTAGGCATTAATTCCGCAGAATGAACATATAACTCTATTCATTTCAGCAACCACGGGCGCGATACGGATTAGCCAATGGCCCCAGCGTGTATATGTATTAAGATTTAGATAGTATGACTTCATATTGATTATTACTTGCATATAAGGACTATATATTATGTGTTTGACTCGTTAGGTTTCTAGTACTATCAGCAGTTACTGGTAGCCAGGATCTGAGCAGAGAGTCAAGCCTCTTAATATGAGTCGCAACAAGATGCCTCTCTTCTCCTCCGTCCAATAACACTGTAGAATTCGCCTTAATATAATTAATGGACTTCATGACTTCTTTTAATAATGTGAGAAATTATTACTGATTAGAGAGATGAAAATTAGTTACCAGAATGCCCTCAACAGGTGATGCACCGTGGCTCTCCAAGTTCAGGAACTTACTAACTGTGAAACGTAGGAGCTTATATTCTGAGAATGTGTTCTTCTGCTGATGCAATTCACGACTATACAAATAAAATAGAATTGAACTGAATTTAACAACATTTTCTTATTTTATTTATCAATGAAACTGCAAATACTGTCTACATACATTTTCAGCAAATACTGTCTACATACAGTATGTGCTCTTATGACACAGTGCAAATACACCAATGGTCATAGTGGACCAGTATATGGACAGAAGGTACATACCCTTGTAAGGTATGTGTAACAGTCCAGCATCCTTTAAAAACTCTTTCACAAAGAAAATATCAAAAAGCTTCTTCAAATCTGCTCTTTATTATCCATAGCTGTTAGTTCCAGTGACAAACAGTAAAGCATTATTTAGGTAGTAATCATCATGAAGGAACCAATAAAATGAAAAAAAAGCATTCATATGCATCAGTTATTGGTTTTACTTATGTTATGAGAATTAAAATTAAGTTTGTCATCTCTATACAGTTCTGTGATGTTCCTAAGTACCTGTTAAAGCGAGTGCCTCTGAAAGAAGTGATAAAACAATTTTTCTCTTACAAAAACTGACCAGTAGCTTACGGTGGCTAATGTTAGCAAACTGTGAATGGGTATCATCACTTAGCTGCTCACTGACTTCATGACTTTTCTCTACTTATGCTACTTTTATTGTGTGTTCCATTTAAACTGGGAAGTCGGAGTTTTCAAGTCCCGAGTTGTAAATTTCAACTGCAGTGCCCCGAGGTCTAATTTCCAAAGTTGGAAGAACCTCACTAACCCCAACCTCAAAATCAAAGATTGTCACTATGTGCATCAACTAAGTGAAAGATGTAGTAATATACTGTTCTGTTCTGTACTGTACTCCCCTGTCTTTTGTATCTCATTAAATCAGTCATACACACAGTACTTCTGTCTGTGGACAGTTGCTACAATGTTACTTTGCTCACGGTGGGAACTGTTGCGTTTCTGTTAATAATTTTATAAGGAGTACGTCTAGACCTGCTCTATTTGAAAAGCGTCCTGAGATAAGTATTCTTATGAATTGGTGTGATACAAATAAAACTGAATTCAATTTAATTGAAATACCATGTAATCGCTTTTATCAACTGCCAACAATGGCTAACCTGGCTAGAGCTTGGTTTTCTGACTTGTTCTGGAACACGGCCAACTACGTGTTTGTATTAGCTATACCATTATGCTGCAAAAGTCACACACTGCAAAGACCCTTCAGAGCTGCAGTAGGTAACTTTCATAAAAATAATAAGTGTTTTCGTTCAGGCCCGGTGGATTCTTGCAAATACCATTAGGAGCACTAAGATGGAGCCAGAAGATACCTGATTTTTTTCACAGATAATCAGTCTCATGAACTACTGTCAGGATATAGTGAAGGTTTCAGCAATTATGACAAAAAGTTATTTTCATTAAAGTAACCTACTGTAGCATGCCTGATTTTTCTAGTTTAGATGTTTGTCCCTTGTGCCTAGCATTTTAATTGACAAAATATACTAGGATTAAAGATTAGGAGTACGTATAAAAACATACCTAATGAAAAAAATATGTGATAACATGCAAAGTGTGAGGACAATGTAACGTAACTAAAAATAGTTCCAAAAGTTATTTTTTAAAACTGCATTCACTTTTTTACCAGTTGGGAATAAATTGTTGCTAGATATCTAGCTAGCAAATTCACATAAATCGTTAGCTAGCTAGTGTTTTGCTAACATTAGCTAACTTAAGATGTAATGGAGTTTGTGGGCTGGAGAACCAAAACAATGAGCTAAAAGAGGCTAAAAAACGATGTTGAGTTGAACTCTGTGGGTTTGTCACTACAAGCATCCCCTTTTACATTTCATATTTGTTAATATACAATTATTGATTAGTCCAGCTTAAAATGTATGTAGCATTTGTATGTGGCTGTTCGCCTGTCTTCTGCATCGGTCCACTTTGTTTCCTCATGGTTGGACAGGGGGGGCATGTACAGTGATCACCGGCTGAGTGGGACAGAAAACAAGCAAAAGAACAGATTTAGGCCATTAAAAGATTGACTGCTAATAGACCCTGACCGATATGGGATGTTTGAGACCGATAAGGATTCAGAAGGGAAAAATTCACAGATTACCAATATGGCAGCTAATATAGTGAATGTTTGCGCTGGAGTGAAAACAGACCTTTTCTATGTGGATTGTGGACCGATATGACCAATATACCCACAATGCTGCTTTCATAAACAAATAACGTATGTTAAATATTCTTTAACTTGGCATGCATTGTCAACCAATTCTAGTTCTGAAAACTGCTTCTTTCCTCTTAAGGTACGTGTCCACAGGTTTCAATGCTTTCCTGGCACTGTCTATGTAAGAGGCCATGCAGTGCATTTCGAGCTTGGGTGTCACGTTGTGGTTCAAGCTACGTTATACACATCCGGGGCACTCTGCTGTGTGACTCGCCAACCCTGGAAACTCACAGAAAGCGTTCAGACTAACCATTGGTTTTCAGAAAGCCATTTGGGTGAACTATTTTCACAATATGAGAGAAAGTTTCCAAGCAGGGATCCAGCCTTTTGTGACTACAGGCGACCAATGCTGTGACCCCTCATGTCCAAAAACACCCCTGTGGACACATACCATTACTCTGTGCTGCTTGCCACAGTACTGTAAATCAAAGCGCACTTTGATGAATAAACTGGGCAGTGACACCAATATATTAGTGTTTTTCTGCATTACATAGTGGAAAAAAATCTTTTGATATGTCTGCAATATTGACTGATAAATTGGCCGACTGATATATCAGTCCAGATTCGTGACACAACTAAAAAATCTATGCAGCTGTCTCACTACACAGTTGTAGTCAGTGTTTACTCACCATTTTGGGAGCCGGCGCGCAGCAGTTGACCACCTTGCAGCAGTAGGCGGCCAGAGTGGCGGAGATGGCCAACAGAGCAACCTGAATGACAGTATTCTCAGCAAAGAAGTGGGTGTGGGTATTCTGTAAGTGGGAACAAAGGTATGCAGAAATTGAAAACAGTAATAATAATAATAAAGATAAATACAAAAATTGGTTTTAAAAAAAAGTTGCAATATACCGCCTTGCTTACAGTATTGCGATATATTGCAATATATGAAATCGTAACCCCTGTCTCATGATATGTATTGTACTGCCAGATTCTTGGCAATACACAGCTCTATAATGCTACATTTTCAGTGTATATGATTACACTTCAACTGAAATTAGTACTTCTATTGCATAAAGTTTAACTAACTTTTACATGGCAATGCAATACAAATGCTTTCATTCCTTACTCTTCAACTCACACTTCAACTGCTTTTGTCTTGTACGCTTTAAATGAGGGTTCAGCTGCTTTCATCAACATTTCAGAATGTATCAAATTTGAAAGGTAAACTGTAAGAAATTATAGAATAATTAAGTCTTGTTTACAATTTGGATCTTGTTTTTGTAGTTCTAATTTTATTTCACAATAGAAGATAAGATAAAAGCCACATAGGCCTTAAGTTAGCTAGCTAATGTTAGCAAAATGCAAGATATCTAGCTAGCAAATTTACATAAATTGTTGGCTAGCTAATGTTTTGCTAACTTAAGATGTGATGTTGCTTTTATCTTTAAACCATTTTCAAAATGTGGTTGTCTTTTCAATATAGATTAGACACCCAAGCCATAACTACGAAGA